GGTTCCACGAGGCGTACAGATAGTTCGGATTAGAAGCCTAATCCGAACTATCTAGTCCGTGCCGCGTGTAGCCGCACAGCACGGGGTTCGCACTAGCCGGCTTTTAAAAATGGCAGCGCCAGCTTTATGCTAATGAAGCCACGGAAATTCAAATCCCGGGCTTCATTAGCAAGTTCGGTATGCATACATTACCCCTGTAGTTTGAACTAGGGGGGTAGTGTAGACATACCCTCATTTGGGCTCCAGCCCAACATTCCCTCAGTTGCCCCTCCCCAGGCAAATGCCCTATCCGCTAGGCCATTCCAGAACCCACCCCCTTTCCCTGCCTTCAGGGCATCCCTTATCCGGCCTTCCCAACCAGGGAACCAGCTCCATCCCTGGGACGGCCCATTTTCTATTTCTTCAGCCAAAGGGAGCAAGCACGCAATAATCCCAGGAAAAGATCTCTCTGTCTCACACCACCCACCCCTCAAATTAAGAGGATGCACGGAATTTGCGTTTTTACCAAGAATCTCGAGTTTTTACATATTGCGAAGATAGAAAAATTGACAGCAGAAACTCCTTTATCGGAGCCTCCCTTATCCAGCTCCCCATATTAACCGAAGTGGGGCTGCCAGCCTTGGGCGGTGGGGCTGAGGCTTCAGCTGGGCTGCTATAGTCACTATTAGATCTGATAAACAGGGATCCACAGGGTAGAATACAGACACAGAAGCTTTTGGTGTCCACAAGAAATACAACCTGCATTTCTATGACTTTTGTTTTATTTTAGTTTAAAGACTGATGGCTTTGAACTTGCTTACAAATCGTAACTGGATCAATAAAACACTTGCGTTCACTTCGACATAGCGTGACCAGGGAAACTAACGCTCAGCATTTTGTTTTCACCACACGAAACCTTGGATTTTTAAATATTATTTATTCGAGAATTTTTTTGGGGGGGACGAGGGGGTTCTGACAGAAAATTAGGATCCCTGTTGAAGCCCCCAGCACAGATCCCTGCAGGCCAAGTTCAGAGCTCACTTGTAGGCTTGGAAGCCCCATGAAGGAACGGATTGTGCGCGGTGTTAGTCAGGTTGGAACCAGACATGTTGTCGGTCTTGGCTGCTGCTGTTTCCCTGCACTTAGATCTTCCATCCCCGCAGCTCAGAAAGAAAGGGCTAGCTAAAACAGCGCGTGTCAGCACTTGGTCCAGGGAACAACATGTAAACAATACACCTCATCCAGCTGTCTGGACAGCTCATTGCATCAGCTCTGCAGACCTTCTCCCTGGGGGAGGGGGGGGGGGAGACATGCACATCATGTGTTTAAATCTACTCAGCAATGTTGCTCCAGAATAAGTTATTAGGAATAGTGGGATTTGTACATCTTCCCAATCCACCGGCCTCTGCTGCCGGAGATGTGCTGCTACGCAAACTCGGATTCCTGACAAGGTCTCTTGTTTTTGCCAACAGCGGCCGCATCCCATCAGATAATCCCTGATTCATTGTGCAAGGGCAGCACTGATACCTCATTCTCCTCTCAGGCACCGGCCAGTGCAGTGAGGAGTCTTGTTACAGGATGCTGCTACCTGTGTCCTGAGGGATAAGACAGGTGCTTCCTGACGAAAGGAACTCATCTCACTTCCTGGAGGACTGGCTGCCTGCAGAAGGGGGGTAAGAAAGGGCTGTCAGTTGAAAGCAGAACTGATCGGTGGACAGGCTCAGCCTATGGGGAACACATGTTCAGCCTGGATGCCTGCAGAGAGAAAATGCACAAAGGCAACTTCAACCACAAACGTTACAACTCGAAAACGTGGGCTGGGTCATGACAGGCAACGGCATTGATCTTCTCTGAGCTCTCACCTATTAGCCAAACAGGACAGTCACCATTGCTGGACAATGGGACGCTGGTTTAAGGGCTGGTGTTTTCACAAAGAAATTTGACTTTTGTTTGTGTATTGCAGTAGCATCCAGCTGTCCCAGCAGAGATCAGATACAGCACAGACACCCAGTAAGAGAGCCCCCATCCCAAGGAACTCATGCTCAAAAGAGCCACTGTGAAAGAAAGGAAGGAGGGATTGTTCTCCTGTTACAGATCCGAAGCCGAGCACAGATTGAGTTAAAGAATGTAACTAGATCGTCTGCGGCAGAGCTGGTAATTTAGTACAGATCTGAAGTCTCAGTTCAGGGCCTTAACTGCCAGCCCATGTGTCCTCCCTGCACAAGTGGGAAGTGCAACTCGCAAAAGCCTCAAAGCTGAGGGGACTTTGTTTTTGTGGTTACATCTGTGCTGGCAGTCCCAATAACGTCACTACCTGTGCAGTGCTCCAAGGAGGGTGAAATTTGGGCCACAATGGGGAGCTATCCCCATGCTACGCACACGCACAGAACACTTACCATGTGCCCTCATTTGCTTCAAGCAAAAAACTCAAGCAGGCAAAGGGAAAGTGTACATTAGAAGCTAGAGACAGGAGTCCCGGCTCGTACATCCATACACACTGGCTCTCCCTACTAGAAACAGCAGGGTGGCTGGAATGGAGCAAGTATGTAGCCAAAACACAGGGCTCAGGAGGATATGCACTTGGGTGACAACAGGCAAAGACGCCAGCCTGGGAGATTACACTGATCATAGCTGTATTGGACAATCAACTTTCCTCATCATCCTGGCCAGTGCCTGCTCTCTCTATAACCCGCCTTCAGCCTCCATGACTCGCACTGTGGGCTGAGAGCAGATTTTTAAAAGGATTTAGGTGCTTTGGAAAATCCCCGTAGACACCTGCCTGCATCTTCAGACGCTTCACTACTTCAGAAAATCTGGCCCTTAGCCCATGTATCTTAATTGTCCCCTCTGTAAAATGGGCACAAAGATGCACTCCCCTATCAAACACCCGTGTGAGGGAGGGGGGTTAATTTGTTAATACCTGTGAAGGGCTTTGCAAAGGCAAAAGGTTGTCATGGTGTTGGGTTGTTGTAGATACAGATCTCACTAGGGGCCAGCCCAGCCAGTTTGGTCTGGTTCTAGTTAGTTCTGTGTTATGGAATAAATGGACACTCGCAACTGCTCAAGCTCTCTGTGTTTCCAGTGATTAATTTCTAAACTGTGGAACTCCAAACGATACAACAGTTGTGCACATGGTAAAGATACCGAAAGTAATGTTTAGGGAAGATACCTGTCGGAAGCCCCTGGACTGCTTTGAGATCTCAGCCGTTACTAACAGGATAATACAGTGAATAGCAAAAGAGGCCCCAACTAACAGCAAAGTTAGTGCCAGGGAATCTGTAACCAATGAAAAAACAAAACAAACAAACAAAACCACTAATAAGCCTAACATAGAGCCTCTTTTCAGCACTGAGATAGGGAACTGACTGTTACGTGTTCAGATGTATCCACTGTGTACGTTAGGGATGTTTGCGCGAAGTCATTTACATGATTAACCAATAACCTGATACAGAGGCAGCAGCACGGGGGAGGAGAGGCAGACGTGAGACGGTACGTCCAGGAAGCAGCTTGCACGTATCAGTTCCCATGGAGCCGCCTGGCCCCCTGCATTGCTGCCTCTTTATCAGAGGCATGGGGGAAGAGGGGGAGACGGGTGCAAGCACCGGCTCCCACCTGTCCCCCCTTTCCCCGCATACAAATGTGTAATCACTAAACAAAAATCCAGTGGTTACACAATACATGATAGTTAGCATCCCTAGTGCACATAACTTCAAGATGGACACCCAGGGCAGGAATAACAGATTTATTTCCCAGGGATGTCTGAGCCTGTGGAGAAGCCCAAGTGACTCAAACCTCTGATCACATTCCGTTTTGATGCGATTTCGAACCAAGTTGCACTGTACACTGGATAAGGGATTCCCTTCAAAGCCCCTCACTGAGCACTTAGAACTAGGCTGGGCGTAGACAGGAATAATCTTTCATAAAACGAGCACAACCAGGAGCATGAATTCACGCCAAGCTCCCTGCTGCCTGGAGAAGCCTGACACATGGACAGCGTTTCCTTGTGTGCGTGCGTGCTGCACTCTCCCCTTTTCCAGCAGTGCTTCCCTTTCAACCGGCAATGACAGGAGCGAAACAGGAACTGGGGAAGGATTCTTGACTATTAGCACCATTATTGATTCAAGCAGGACAGGGCTTGTATTACAGGAAACAGCAAGCATCCCTGCTGCCTGGAGAAGCCTGACACATGGACAGCGTTTCCTTGTGTGCGTGCGTGCTGCACTCTCCCCTTTTCCAGCAGTGCTTCCCTTTCAACCGGCAATGACAGGAGCGAAACAGGAACTGGGGAAGGATTCTTGACTATTAGCACCATTATTGATTCAAGCAGGACAGGGCTTGTATTACAGGAAACAGCAAGCACTTAGG